CTGGATGAGAACAACTTTTGGGAAAGCAAGGCTTTGTGAAATTCAATGGAAATGTCAGCTCAACTCATATCATTGTGGAAAAATTCTTCTTCTACCAGTCCTTCATCACCTTAAAGGTAAAATATAGAAAAGAAGACAAGGATAGTGGGGCCATAATTTTGGCCTTAGAGAATTTGTCTAACCTAGTTTTGCAAACATAGTAAGTGTTTCAGAAAGACCTGTAGGAACAGGTCCCATACTGCGTGTTCTACCATAATAGTTAAGATAATTTAGATAATCGGGCCGTTGACTTAGCACATTCCCAGACGTTTATCCAGAATAATAGCCACCAAGGTCAACTCGCCTTGTCTCACAGCACAGAACCACAACTCTTCAAAAGAAATAAGTGAAGGTCATTCAACGATCAACGTTTTTCTAAATAATTATGGTATCGCTTTTCTAGTCCTGGTACATGTGCCTATCTCATATATGAGTACAAAAACGTATGCCCTATGTGATATGATATAATCTAGAGGTTTGATATTATGGGCGGGCTAAGTGAGGTGTTGTCTCATTCCCCGCCGATTTCCCCTCGCACCTAATGTGCAAGAATTAGTGATACGACTGGGCTCGTGCAGTCTGAAAACCACTTCACCCAAATTCCATCAGATTCTCTCTCGTGACCTCGACAGTCCGTTTTTTTCAATATTTGATGCTTTTCACACGGGCCTTGACACCATATCAGCCATGCTAAAGAAGTTGTTTCCATGATCCGCTCAAAAGTTTGATAGCATCAATAAGGTAGCCTTAACAAGCAGGCCTATAGAGCACTGATTTTCAAGCCTGTTGATATCACTCTACAGCTATGGACCAACATTAACATTGTCTTTCCAATTAGTTCATTTCATCATGTGTACACAGTTGGTAAATGTCATTGCCAAGCATTGATTTCACATACCATCCATTTCATTTAACCCTTGTACATATTGATAACTTATGCCTTTGGTCTTATATGAGATAGAGTAAAATGCTTTCTGATCTTGTTTAATAGAGCTCCGGAAAGCATCACAGTTACTAAAGGTAACGAGATGCTTATTAAGGTGTCACCCCCCTTGCGGATAAAGAAAATTCTAATATTCTTTCATGCTTATGGAGGATATATAAACATGTATGAAGAACCAGTAATCAACTGTACAATTATACTCAAACGCTCCATCTAAACTACCTGAAACGAGTTCGTTTTGAGGAATGTTAGACTCCACAAGATCAGCAAATGAATCAGGCACTATAAGTGGAGAGACGATTTGTGCTCGAGAAGCTGAGGCATATTTGACAGACTGGCAAAGGAGGCGGGCAGCATGCATCTGATCTAAGGGGCGTGGAGTGTTAGGGTCATTTTTAGGAAGATGGCCCCCGCTTACAGCTTCCTCCTGTTCCCCTTTTATTTGCTCTTGATTTGAACCTTCGACTGCCACATTCTTTCGAATAGTTACTTCCTTCGCTTGCTCCATAACACCGTCGGAAGGGCGAGCCTGGTGGTGATGGCGTTGTTGCTGTTGGGTACGATGAGAATGATGATGGTGGTGGTGATGGCGTGAAGATTGTCGATGCTGGCGTCTCGACTGATTTCGCTGATCCACGTATTCAGGTAGAGTGGCGCCTGAAGGACCGGTTGGCAAAGTAGTCAGGTCCGATCTATCAACGGA